AAAATATAAAAATGTTAACATTACTCTGACCTGTTTCTGTTTCCATGCTAACTCTGTAACCACATGCATAAGCTCAAGTGACCTGTGATTTGGAGGCTTTTCTGAGAGTTAAAAGTTAATATATACTGAGCTGGGCGGTGGTGGCGCACGCCTGTAATCCCAGCACTTGGGAGGCAGAGGCAGGCAGATTTCTGAGTTCGAGGCCAGCCTGGTCTACAGAGTGAGTTCCAGGACAGCCAGGACTACACAGAGAAACCCTGTCTCGAAAAACAAAACAAACAAAACAAAACAAACAAAAATCCCACAAAAGTTAATATATACTGAAGACCCCCCACTCAGGGGAGTCCCTCACTCAAGTCTCGGGATGTCACGACCATCCAGTAACTCGCAAGACACCGAAACTGGATGCAAACAGCAGAGGCTTTATCCCGGAGGAACAGCCGGCTGTTGGTCAATTCGTTTGCTCACGCAGGAGCTGAATTGACAAGGACAGCTGGTCTGAGGAGGGTTTTTAAAGGGGAAAACCACAAACCAGGGGATGAGGAGGGGGCAAGGGGGTTGCTAAGGAGACACAACATACAAATAGCGGAAAATTCCAGAGGAACCCAGCCTATGTGAGTCAGGGTCATGTGGAAAACACTATATACTCATTCTTCTCAGAAATGTGGTCCTGCCCTGTCACTGAGGCCCTGCCCTGTCATTGTGGTCACCAGCTTCCTGGTTCCACCTAGCCGACTTGCATTCTTGCATTCTGGTTAGCGGGCTCCTGTAACTGGCCAGTCCACATTCTTAGCCTGCTTCAGAGAAAACTTTCCATGCCCTTTAAAGAAAAACCTATGTATATTTTATAAAATGATCTTTATAATTTTTCATTCTTCAATACTTGCTTTAGCAGACACTGAACTGTGGCTTTGTGTGTGCATTGCGCCTTCTGACGGCGTAGTTACATAGGGGTTTGGGGAGTATGGATTTGAGGAAAATAATAAAAAGGTTTTTTGAGTATGTATTTTTGTATAACAAGAAAGTGTGTAACCAATAAAAGACTGAGGTGAACTCAGAGTGAGAAAACCTGAGAAAGAGAGAGAGAGAGAGAGCCAGACACACACACACACACACACACACAGAGAGAGAGAGAGAGAGAGAGAGAGAGAGAGAGAGAGAGAGAGAGAGAGAGAGACTGCAACCTGTCTCTAAGCACAGCTTCAGAACAACAAAGAGTCATTTGTCAGCTTGCATCTGTGTCCTTGCCTGAGACTCTGATTTTGCTGTTTCACTCCTCCCATTCTTGAGATCCTTGGAACGACTGAAGCTGGTCCTCGGGAGGACACCCATAAACTGTAGACATGAGACAAAAAACATGGAAAAGTTGCCCACTCTCAGGCAGTTTCACCCAGATTTTCTCAGAGCTTTTGTATTGGACAACTTGCTCAGCCTGAACACAGAAACACAGCCTGAGCACATTCACTGACTGGTCAGCTGCTGAAGCAGAATCAGCTGCACATAGCATGTCACAGCCTGCTCCTCCGGCTCCAGTCCCACACAGTGAGAACCTGATCCCAACCAGAGCTGACACTAGCTCCCTTACAGTTTTTCATAAATAAGGGGACACACATGGTTAAAGAGAATCCCAGACTTCTTGATGAAGGACTCATTCCTGGGAGTGTGTGTCCTATTGTAATAGTTACTAATGCTTAGCTATTTCCATAATACATAATAGTGTAATACACTATTTTTAAAAGAAAGGTTCTTACTGTGTAGCGTTGTCTGGCTTGAAGCTCTCCATGTAAACCAGGCTGGGCTGGAACTCTTAGATCTCTTGATAACTGCCCCTGCCTCCTGAGCGCTGGGTTTGATAACACTGGATGATAAAGTTGCTGCTAATATTCAGATGTGAGGGCAGTGTGGAAGTACATACCAATAATCTCTAGATTCAGGGATGAGGACAATCAGGAGTTCAAGTACAACATTTACTACCTAAATAATTTGAAATTTGAAACCAGCCTGGGCCATAGGAGACTGTCTAAATCAGTCAGTCAGCCAATCAGTTAAACAAAAGCCAAAACAAAACAAAAGTCACAGTAGTCCCAGGGTCTTAAGGGAAGGAAATATTGAGAGGAGCACTATAAAACATTCTAGAGAAGATTAAAAGAATAAATATTTAAGCATATATGTAAATCAGAGTAATTGTAGAATTCTGATTTGTTTTAAAGTGGTCCACACAAGTCTGTATTCTCAGTATTTGGAGTCAAAGGCAGATCGGGGTTCAAGGCCTGTGTGAGGTGTACTGAGAGTTCCAGGCTAGCTTGAGATATAACAAACCATGTTTCATAGAAAAAAAGAAGGGAATGAGAAAATATGCATGAGTGGATACGGTGAGTAAAATATCTACACAGGATGGACTTTAATACTTTGAGGTAGTTATTGTCAGTCTTTTTAGTCAAGTCAAGATCTGTTGGTTTGGATATAAATTTGTTCAGTGACATGATTCTTACTTTTTATTTATTTTGTTAAATCAAAATGCCTACAGTGCAAACAGTCTTATCAAGGCAAGGACACTACACAGTTCCTCTCAGATCCCAGCTCACTACTCTATTGGGCTCAGTCAGGAACAAAATTTGCAGTAAGGGCTGTGTTGTGTAAATGACAGAAGTCAGCTAACACAGATCCCACTGGCAGGACTTACAGGGCAGTGGACTGTTTCATAAGCGAATCACTTGAAGTATATCCACACAGATGATTTTTGAACAGTGTGGGTGCTGGGGTCCCCAAACACAGATTCTGGTTGAACTGGATGATCTTAAGTCCTTGTCCAGGATGTATACGCTACGTGGATTCAATTCAATTGTGTTTCTTCAGTTTCTGGTTTAGGAAAAGTTTTTCCTTGCCAATTTCAATGACTTCAAGGATACTTCCTTCTTTCGCTGTGTTCTCAGGTGGCTACAATGGACTAATGCAATGGGCAATATGTTACTCACTTCATTTCATTAAAACATGTTTAATCACAGTATCATAGCCTACAAATACTCAACAGAACGGAGATACTATGCATATGTGGGGGACATTACACACGCCTTTAAATTTTCCTACGTTGTTAATCCTGAGATTCACCAGAGAAAAGCCAATACCATTATTTTGAGCCAAATTTGAAGTAAGCTTTATTAAATATTAAATACTGACCAAGAGATGGACTTTGGTTAGGACCACTTATTTCCTGTACTTTCCCAGCTGAAAACGTGCCACAGGAGTTTGTAAAGACAAACCCATAGGCTACCCCCATCCTTTCTTTTCCATCAGGCTTCCTGAGTTTCCAAGAACTACAGCTTACAGTGTTCCAGGAAGTTACCTAGTCCCTGGGCAGGCGGTGCTCATAGGTTAATTTTGGATATTACAACATGACAGATTTAAAATGTTGTTGTGTAAGAGTAAAAATTAAAAACAACTTGGCAAAGACTGCAGGACGGCTTGCTGAGCTTGCTGAGAATAGCCATAATAAAAATATCAAACCCCTCTAGGGACGAGGTGACCAGAAATGTAGAAACAACCAAAGACATATCTTGACCAGTCTAAACATGCCCAAGTGAGTAATGGGCCACCTGGTGTTTATCCTAGAAGGTCTGAGGCTTCATGGTCAAAAATAGTGGGCCATCCAGCCTGTCAAAATGATTGCTTACGCAAAGTGCTGATGTTTGAAATATCCAATTATATGTAACTGCGCCAGAATTTCCCGCTTTTCCCTTCTCCCTCGTGCCTCCCCCTATAAAAGTTCTAAACTTCCTGGGGTCTTCATCGAAATTCTCTCCCCTGCGTGGGATGAGTTTCGATCCAAGTGCCCTTGTTAGTAAACTGCCTTTTGCTATTTTGCATCAAGTCAGTCTCTCCTGTCTCCTTGGGTGCGCGCTGATCGGGACTTGAGTTGGGGGTCCTCTTTCTGGGTTCTTACAGTTGGTCTTCTATATTTGGTTATTATAGTCTGAATGTTAATACAGAATGAATGAAAACAGAGTATAATTACATATCTGCATGAAAGGGCCATAATGAAACTCATTACTCTGAATATTAGCCGTTGTTTTAATTAAAAAGTTTTGCAGTCCCCAGAGGGTCTTTACCTGCTGGGAGACCCCGAGTGAGATAAGACTCAGATCCAGTGCACCAGGATTGACCTTCAGCAGTCTCTCAAGCAAGAGACTGGAGGAGATTCCGATTCTAACTTACAAGCACCTCTTATACATTTTTTTTAGAGGGCAGATTACAGTAACAGCAACTCGGCACTTGGTGATAGGTAGTTAGGCTGACCTTTTGGCTGACTGACTTGGCCAATATCTGATCATCCTGGGAGAGTACTTTCGTTCCCCAGAGGGCCCAGGTGGCCTCCTAGCCAGTACATTTTATGGTTTTTATGAGAAAGTGTTTTGTCAGAGAAATCATCCTGGGACCAGGAGCATGAAACTCTCTCTTGGAGCTTAATGCCCTTTCCTGGAGCCACCTCAGGATTGGGGCAGAGTTGCTTAATCTTATTCATACACAGCTCAGGCCACCTACACACAGACACAAACACACAGACACACAAATCACAGTAAGAAAACTTCACGGAAATTTAAAACAAATTATCGCGATACTATTATTTCTATCGGTTAAGAATTTCCTTGTTGCGGGGCAGTGGTGGTGCACGTCTTTAATCCCAGCACTTGGGAGGCAGAGGCAGGCAGATTTCTGAGTTCAAGGCCAGCCTGGTCTACAGAGTGAGTTCCAGGACAGCCAGAGATATACAGAGAAACCCTGTCTCGAAAAACTATAAAAATAAAATAAAATAAAATAAAATAAAATAAAATAAAATAAAATAAAATAAAATAAAATAGAATTTCCTTGTAATCAAATAGCCTTATGCCCAAGGCTACGCCCCGCCTTCCGTCATTGGATTGGTGCCTTCGACAGCCACTCAGACCTGTGAGTGGCCGGCTCTGAAATGAGGAAGTGGGCAGGATATGGAAAGTTCTGCGGAGGTATGAGCCTGCCATCTTGGGGTCTGTGGGACCGAGGTCCGTTGGGGGCAGCTGTGCTGGTGGCGGAGACCGAGTCGCAGGACGCTCCCAGACCCGTCATGGTGAGCGCAGCGTCCCTGCGGAGCGGGCGCCGACGCCTGGGGGGTGGGGACCGGGCGGGCTCCGGGCACCCCGAGACCCTGCGTGGGGACCCAAGCGGACTGCAACGCTCTCCGCAGCTCTGCCACTCAAAGGCAAGAGACAGGAATCGCCTGACTGCTGGGTGGCTTCAGCGCGGCGCACACTGCAACTCTGGGCTTCAGTTTCCTGCAAGGGCGAGGTGGGGAACTCTGTGCACCGTCTGGAAACTCGGAAGCTCGGTGCAGGGAGCTGCGTCTAGTAGGGGTGACTCTCCAGCTGTCTGTTACTCTGGGATAGGCCGGTCAGTGTCCTGGCTCACCGAGCTGGTGAAGCCCATATCTGCTCAAATCAGGAACTTTATAGACTTGGGAGATGTTGATAGAACTCAGCCTCTAAGCATGGACCGGAGACCAATGGGTCTGAAAGGAGGATCTGTGAAGAGGAGCCCTGAGGATTAAATATTTGCATGTTAGTCGGAGGTGGTGGGGAAGAGAAAGATTTCAGTTCCTTGTCCTAAACAGAGTGACCCCAATGGCTATTACAAGCAGTTTTTATGCTTTTTAGGGGCACAGGTTACGTCAGCAAGGTTACAGTTTAAACTTATTGGCTAAGCATATTGACCTTTAAATCTACTGGCTAGCAAGTGTGGGCAGATCACCACCTCCCGAGAGCTGTGGGTGCAGAATGGAACCTGGGCTAGCCTTGATCCCAGGCGGGAGGAGAACCTGTAGAGGGAGGCGAGTTTAAGACTGGCAAAGCCTTCAGGGTCCTTCACAGCCCATGCTTTTATTTCTTGTCCATTTTACCTATATTTCCCCACTGATTAGCATAGTCAAAATGATGAAAATGGGTAAAGATTTTTCTTCTTGGCAACTGCTTTGGACAGTGGAAGGGTGTAATTGAGCCCCCTTTGGGAGAGGGGCAGGGGGTTATCTCAGTGGATTGAACTGGGGTTGGACTGTGGCATCCCTTGGAATTGAAGAGATCCTCAGTGATGGAGACAGGTGTCAGTGGTCAGGTTCTCAAGTGTCACAGAACTTTTGGAATGTCTCTGTATATTAAGGGTACTTATTTTAATGACTTACAGTATACAGTCCTACTAAGGATGGGCAGCTGTGGATGGGAAGTCCAAGAATCTAATAGTTGCTTGGTCCCACGAGGCTAGTTGTTTCAACTGGTCTTCTGTGTAAGCTGGAATCCTGAAGTGGGTTCCAATAGTTGTGCTGGCAAGAAAGGGCAAGCAGGGGAAAAAGAGTGACTCTTCCTTCTTCCAACGTCCTTATGTAGGCCTTCAGCAGAAAGTGTGGCCCAGGTTAAAGGTGTATACTGCCAAACCTGGATTTGGAATTTGCTCTGCCTCAGGCTGCCCTTGAACTCAGAGATCTGCTTGCCTCAGTAGCTGGATTCCAAGTTTGGCAAGATTTTCCAGAAAAACCTGGATTTGGAGTTTGCTCTGCCTCAGGCTGCCCTTGAACTCAGAGATCTGCTTGCCTCAGTAACTGGATTCCAAGTTTGGCAAGATTTTCCAGAAAAGCCTGGTATCTACAAGGAGGAATCCAGTGTTGTTGAGTTTTATCTGAGACCTATTGAGTTGAGAACTTTCAGGGTCAGATAAGGTTTTGTTTTTGTTTTTGTTTTTTTTTAATAAAAATGTAGTTCCATCTTGTTTGCTTTTTGAGTTTTAACAGACAGAAACCAGGCAAGGTGAATCAACACCTATACCTTGAAGGTGACAAGGAACATCATATTCAATCTCATCATGTCTTGAGGGGTTTAAGAACAGAGTTCCATCCACCAGAGGGAACTGTTCAAACACAGGGAGCGCCCGGTGGCACAAAGCACAGTTTACAGCATTTCTGTGGCTGGCACTGAGGGCTGCAAGATCTTCGCCTTGGCCTACTTGGGCATCGTCTTCCATTTGGACATGGAAGATGTTTAGCTTATGCCTGGGGATGTGAGTGAGAAGTTCAGAGAGGTCCAGTCGCCGCAGGAACTGTACAGGGGTGTCAAAGTGTCCTGCCCTGTGTACAGACAGACCAGCCGAACTGTAATCAAAGTGGGCATTTCTGAACACGTGGCCTCCTGGCATGGCCTTTATGTGAGATGAATGGCATTCTTTAAGAATTCCCCAAGGTATCTGGAGGAGCGGGGACCACTAAAGTGGGCTGGGGAGAGGATAGAGTAGCCCGTGGGTGGGGACTGGCCAGGAGAGCCACAAGGGGAATGGGCCCCATAGGCTGCAGAACTGACTGTCTTTTCCTGGGAGTTCTGCCTGTCCATGGAATGCCGCCGAGGAAGGTCATGGTTCAGGCTTTGCATTTTTTTGTCTCCTCCCCAGCCTCCCCTGGAGGCCTTGCTGTGTTCTTCTCTGACCCAGACTTCTTCTTTTTTTCATCTTGCATTCGCTTTACCTGGTACCAGTCTGTGTCCTTTTTTTAAGTGGCCCTGCCCACAGCGGCAGGAACAGAAGCGGAAAGCCAGGTCATAACCCTTCTTGGTCCACATGTTCTGGCGGCACTGCTTCTCATTCCCGCTACGGGCCCTGCCAATGCGCACCAAGATGCTGCTCTCCCACTGGTAGAAGCACTGAAGATGCATCCAGGCGCTACACGGGCAGTGCTCATTGTTGCACACCACCTTCCGATAGTCATCCTTCTCCAGGTCCACTGGTCTCCCAAAGCTGCAGATCGGGGGTGTGTGGCACAAGGAGCTTCATTCTTGGCGTCTCCCGCGGCTGCAGCCTGTCGCGCCCGCCGCCGCCAAGGCCCCCCGCTCCATTTGCCTGCTCGTCCCCGCTGCTGTTGGCACGCTTGTTTTTGCGGCCGCCTTTGCTGTTCTTGGGTTTGGGCATCTCCCCGACCCGCTTGCGGGTGTCCCGGTACCCGGCGCCCACGAAGGTGGCTCCCCGCGGCACGGGGGCGGCCACGGAGAGCGCGGACCGACCGCTCTCCTCAGGCGCCCGCCCCGCCGCGCGGCCCGCGCCGCGCCATTCCGGCCGCCGCGCCCTCCCGGGCAGAAGCCGGCGCGGCCACCCGAGGCTTGCAGCCGCGCGGGCGCAACCCAGATAAGGTTTTTAAGTTGGCTGGAGCTGGTTATTTGAATGACTATCATTGTAAGGACTGTAGATGCCGGGACTCTGCAGAATACGGTGAGGATGAAAGTCCTAGTTGGGAGCTGGTAGATTTCATTTTGTAATACTGTTTGGGATTAGTCTTTTCTATTGGGTGTTGAAGACCTTGTAGACAGCCACAAATGAAACTCTGTATGGTTAGACAGGGTTTCATGAGGGTCTCTCTGAGCAGCTTGCTTGGAGACCCTGAGCCTCCTATGCTTTTTTCAATCAGTTGTGTGATCTGCTAGGATGGTCAAGGTTATGGCGAGAAGTGTTTTTCCTCTGGTCCCCTGTGACCTAGCTAGAATATTGACTGTCATCTCAACCCCCTTGTCTTACTGGTCTTAGATTCCAGTGTAGCTGTTAAATGCCCACAGTGTAGATTTGAAGGACAAATTGTAGTTTGAAACACTGCTGTTCTGTAACCCAAAAACTCAACTCACATTAAGACTTTTTATAATTGAAATCTTTTTTTTTTTTTTTTTTTTTTTTTTGGTTTTTCGAGACAGGGTTTCTCTGTGTAGCCCTGGCTGTCCTGGAACTCACTCTGTAGACCAGGCTGGCCTCGAACTCAGAAATCTGCCTGCCTCTGCCTCCCAAGTGCTGGGATTGAAGGCGTGCGCCACCACCGCCTGGCGAAATCTATTTTTTAAAGGCATGTACCACCATGCTCATCTAAAGACTTACGTGTTTTTATGTATGCGAATGCTCTATCTGCATGTATCCATGTATGCCAGAAGAGGGCATCAAATCCCATTATAGATGGTGGCGAGCCGCGATGTGGGTGTCAGGAATTGGATTTAGGACTTTGGGAGAGATTGCGCTCTCTCTCTAGCCCTGTACTTAAAATCTTGACAAACTTAGCAGAAACAGCATTTTTTTTTTTTAACAAAGCACATAGTCCTTGCTCCTTAAGAAAGCTTTATTTAGTTTTAGCAATGTCGTTTAAGTTAAGTTTTATAAGTCTCATTGTGACATACTTTAATTTTATGTTTTTTATTTTTCTGATCTCCTTTTCACAATCCTTTACTTCAGTACAAAACTATCTTATCATACAAAATTCTTGCCAAAAAGCTTCTTATTAGGACAGTGTTTAAGAGTAAAAAGGCGGGGCTGGTGAGATGGCTCAGTGGTTAAGAGCACTGACTGATGTTCCAGAGGTCCTGAGTTCAAATCCCAGCAACCACATGGTGGCTCACAACCATCTGTAGTGAGATCTGATGCCCTCTTCTGGTGTGTCTGAAGACAGCTGCAGTGTACTCATATACATAAAATAAATAAATAATTCTTTAAAAAAAAAAAAAAAAAAAAAAAAAGAAGAGTAAAAAGGCCATAAAAGCCCGCACAAGGCCACATCTGATTACTAAATTTATAATAGTTAAGCATTTATCTTCTTTTAAAAACTCTAACTTATAAAAAAAAAGAAAAAAAAACTCTAGTGAGAATTTCATATGTAAATATAATGTTTGTTCAAATCCTCTCTCTAGCTCCTTCAGTACCCACCATTTTCCTTCCCAACTAATGAAGTTTAAAACAAAATCAAAACCTCACACTACTTATCGCTGCCAGTATGTGAAGGGGTCTAGGGTAATTGCTGGAACACGGGCAGCCTATGGGCCAGAGCCGAGGCAAACTAACTCTCCTTATCCTCACAGCCGGCAATCGCCAGTAGCCCCTCAGCTGGGAGTAGGATTTTATGAGCCCCTCAACCCAGCCATGTTGGAATTTTACCTGACTTCATCTTGAGCCTGTACGTAGTCATAGCTTCTGCGAGTTCATGAGTCTGGTGCCCCTGCCATGACTGGAAAGCAGTCTGTCATAGCAGTCCTCTGTAGCACCTGGCTCTTAGAGTCGTTCTACCCCTTCTCCCAAGATGATCCTGAGCCTTGGGCATAGGGAATGTGATAGAGACACGCCATTCAAGTCTCAGCTGTCCGGTGTCTTGTTCTCTACTCTTTGACCAGTTGGAAGTCCCTGTATTAATCACTGCCTGCTGCAGAACAAAGCTTCTGGGGTTTAGAGGGGATGTTGGGAGCTAAAGTTTCATATCTTATTTGTGTAAGTAAGTGATGGTAGTTAGTTCTTCCCGAGAGCTGTGTGTCTTTATGGGTGTCCAGGTCCCTTTGTGCTCAGAGCTTTGTGGAGTTTAGCCTGTATTCCCACAAGCCAACTGTTAAAGACAGGGCCATAAGTATCTGGGCAGACTCCTCTGGTGGGAACTGGAGGGCCGGATCTGTCTGTGCAGTGGTGGGCTCAGGAAGGGCCTTGCTTTCATCAGGCTGCCAGAGGCTAATGATCCCTGGAGCAGGGCAGAGGAAAGCTCGACCACCAGCAGCAGCAGTTAACAGAATTCCCTTCTAGAGAGAAATGAGACCTTTGAGGTCAGTCTTTCAGGATGGAACAGGAAGCTCGTGGATTCTTTTCCATTAGCATGTAGAACTGAGAGTTTGTTCTGTGATCTAGATAGGTTAATGTAGATTTCTGTGCACTGAACAGCTAGGGTTCTAGCTAGTACTAGTACTTAGCCTTCCTTTCCTCGGGGTGATGCTAGAGTCATTTTCCAGATCTCTGGCATGTTGCCTGTGGAAGAGTTTGATGTACTTATTTTCTCAGTGGTCAGTATATGGAAATCTGTCAATTATTTTTGCTTTTGAGGGGACTTGATACATGCATAGATGTTTAGTTACCTTGTTACCTTTGTGTAGAAGTAAAGTCAGGAATTCTGAAATGGTTTATACTTGTGATCCCATTTTTTCATCAGGAAATATTTTTATGTCCTGAGATATTCATTTGTATAAAATACATGTGCATATGAAACATTTGCTGATAATAACTTCATTTTAAAATAAGGCATTGACATATATCAGACATTGATATTTCCTAAAGGTGTAAACAACTTTGCATACTAATGAGACCGATTGCTAATGCGTCTGACGTATTACAGTGCAGGGATAAATGGCAAGAGGTGGTGGCAGGGAAATAAGAAATGTGTTTGTTTCCCACCAACAAAACAAAACAAACAAACAAACAAAAAAACCCAAGAAACTGTGATTCAGAAAAGCAGATAACTATGTAAAGAACACGGACTGTAGTTTATAACATACTTGAATCTGAACCAGGGTCTTACAGGTGACATGCATTGGTGGTGTAATGTCGTGTACTATGCAAAGCATGCATGCTATATGTTCTGGACAGATGCTACAGTGAAGTTACATGATGAATTCAGTACCCATTTGATTTTGGATTAATCTTCAGTTGCATGTTCCAAAACCTTGTAGTGTTCCCAGTTTTTGACCTGTACTTTTAGTTGTGTGACCCCCACATGGTGCTGGGACTAACAGTCTGAGAATAGAACTTTGTGCTGGATAGTTTTATGTCAACTTGACACAAGCTAAAGTCATTTAAGAGGAAGGAATCTCAATTAAGAAAATGCTTAATTAAAAAAAAAGAAAAAAAAAAAAAGAGCCGGGCGGTGGTGGCACATGCCTTTAATCCCAGCACTTGGGAGGCAGAGGCAGGCGGATTTCTGAGTTCGAGGCCAGCCTGGTCTACAGAGTGAGTTCCAGGACAGCCCAGACTACACAGAGAAACTCTGTCTCAAAAAAACAACAACAACAACAACAAAAAAAAAAAAAAAAAAGAAGAAGAAAATGCTAAATTAAGATGGGGCTGTCAGCAAGAACGTAGGGCGTTTTCTTAATTGGTGATTGATGGAGGAGGGTCCAGGCCACTGTGGGGGGGGCATCTCTAGACTGGTGGTTCTGGGTTCTATAAGAAAGCAGGCTAAGCAAGCCATGGGGAGCAAACCGGTTAGCTGCAGCACTCCATAGTCTGTCTCTGTGTAGCCCCTGCCTGCAGGTTCCGCCCTGCTTGGGTTCCGGCCCTCACTGCATTTGATGGTGAGCTCTTAGAGGGCACTGTGAGTGAAATAAGTCCTTCTTCCCCAAGTTGCTTTCGGTCATGGTGCTTCATCACAGCAACAGTGACCCTAACAGCCTTGTCAGCCTTGTTCTGCGGTAGGTGCCGAGAAGGGGGAGGTCTTAGCTTTGCTGCTTCTGGGCATACACTGTAACATAGTGTTGTGACACCAGCCTCAGGATTTGCATTTCATTCTTTGGAGATTGAGTGTTATTTTTAGGTAGTAAGGTTTATGTATTCTTTCCTTTGCTCTTAATAACACCTCGTTTACATACCCATGTGCTCTGTGAACTTTGTTTTTGCTGGAATTAGAAAACTCTAGTTTGTTTACTTGAATCACTTTGTTGACACAGATAAAGATGCTTTTATCGATTTTTCTTTTTCCCATGATAATAGAATACAGTCAAGTTGTATGTTCTGTAAGAAACTAATAACACACACACACACAGACCGACAGGGGTTGGGGTATGAGGAGTGGACTCCCATTTTGTACTCCTTGAGCTGAAGAAAAATGTGTCATTCCAGGGGTTGGTGTCATTTGAGGACGTAGCCGTGAACTTCACCTGGGAGGAGTGGCAGGACCTGAATGCTGCCCAGAGGACTCTGTACAGGGACGTGATGCTGGAGACCTACAGCAGCCTGGTGTTCCTGGGTGAGTCTGACTCCCCCTTCAGCCTCAGCAAATAAGTTTTCCTTGATTAACAAGTATAGGAACCATCTCTCACTTTAGAGATGTGTTCTTATTTGTAGCTATGTATGTGTGTCTGTGGGAGAAAACACCACGTGTGTGCCCGCCTGAGGACACTAGAAGTCACTGAGTCACAGAACTGAGCAGGCAATTGGCAGCTGCCGGGTTTGGATACTGGGAACTGAACTTTGGTGTCTGTGGTGATTTGATAGGAATGGCCCTCATAGACTCATGTCTTTGAATACTTGGCCCATGGAGAGTGGCACTATTAAGAGGTGTGGCCTCATTGAATTAGGTATGGCCTTATTGGAAGAAGTGTGTCACTGTGGGGACAAGCTTTGAGGTCTTACATGCTCAAGCTATGCCCAGTGTGGCACACAGTCCCCTTCTGCTGCCTGTGGATCCAGATGTGGAACTCTCAGCTCCTCCAGCACCTTGTCTGCTTGCATGGTGCCATGCTTCCTGTCATGACAGTGATGGACTGAACCTCTGAATTGTAAGCCAGCCCCACTTAAATATTGTCCTTTATAGGAGTTGCTGTGGTCACGGAGTCTCTTCACAGAACTAAAACTCAAACTAAGACAGTCTCCCCAGAGCAGTGCTTGCTCTTAGCCCTGGAGCCATCCCTTCCAGCCTGCTGAACTTTGTCAGTATTATTATTTGGGGTTATCGACCCTGCAGTTTAATGCCACATGAGGGCGCTCTTGCAGCCAGTGAAGAGTGTGAGTGTATATCTCTCTGACCAAAGTCTCTTACTTGTGAAAGAACGGTTCCAAATGGAGCTGTGGTTTCTTGTCAGGGGATGTGCCAGTGCTCTGGCACCATTTGCTTATTATTTCCAATTTACAGACCCCTGCATTGCCAAACCTAAGTTGATCTTCAACTTGGAGTGTGGACTTGGACCATGGAGCCTCGCAGAAGCTTCAAGGTGGAGCCTCTCAGGTCAGTGAATATGTGCAAGGAAGTCAGCTGCAGACAGAACGCTCATTAGATGATGGTCATGTTGAGCTGTTTTTATTGAATTTCATCCAAACCCAGTCCTAAAACAGCTAGTTACATGCATTTTTTTATTAAATCATTTTTCTTTTCTTTTTTTTTGTTTTTTGTTTTTTGTTTTTTTTCGAGACAGGGTTTTTCTGTGTAGCCCTGGCTGTCCTGGAACTCACTCTGTAGACCAGGCTGGCCTTGAACTCAGAAATCCACCTGCCTCTGCCTCCCAAGTGTTGGGATTAAAGGCGAGCGCTACCACTGCCCAGCCATTTTTATTTCCTTAAGTCCAGTTTTAAAAGAACATTCTTGGAGTGGTTTTGTCTCTCTGGTTTTTGTTTGTTTGTTTGTTTGTTTGTTTGTTTTGTTTTTTTTTCGAGACAGGGTTTCTCTGTGTAGTCTTGGCTGTCCTGGAAGTCACTCTGTAGACCAGGCTGGCCTCAAACTCAGAAATCTGCCTGCCTTTGCCTCCCAAGTGCTGGGATTAAAGGCATGCGCCACCACTGCCTGGCTCTCTGTTTTTGTCATTAAACTGTATTTCCTTTTCATTGCTGGGTCCCACATAGTGGAAGGAGAGGACAGACTCCCTTCAAGTTGTTCTTGGACTTCCATGTCATGTACTATGCATAACACACACACACACATACACACACACACACACTCTCTCTCTCACTAAATGAATGAAATTCAATGAAAATAACAGAAAGAAATGCAGCTGTGAGTCTGGCATACAGAAGAGAAACGAAGGGCTAAAACAGAGAAATGTAGGCACACTAATCAGTATCTTGGTGCAGGAGTAACAAGAACCACAAATTCACATGATCCAAAAAGACTTAAAAAGTCATTAATATTAAATTGCTAAAAGTACAAAAGAAAGAATACAAGAAACTGGTGGTAGAGGAATGTGCTTAGTTACTTTAGAAGACAAACATATTAGCATAATATATATCTTAGCAAAGACTGTAATGACAAGAAAGCGTGAGCTCACATATTTTAAACCTTGAGACAAAATTGTGAATCAAGATTACTTTGACCAATAAAGTTATCCTTTAAAATTAGAAAGAATTGATGGCTTTCTACCATAAGCATGAATTAAATCTACGTACGTTTCCACAATAAAACAAAGAGACAGGAGTTAGAACCCTGGTTCCTCAGTGTTAATTATTATTCATTGTGAAATAAAATATGTACTCTTACCATAGGTCAGTGTCTTAGTTGGGATTTCTGTTGCTGCACTAAAGCATCATGGCCAACTTAGGGAGCAAAGATTTATTTCAGCTTACAGTTCCGCAGCACAGTCCTTCACTGAGGGAAGTCAGGGCTGGAACTCACACAGCAAGGACTGGAGCCGAGACCGTGCTGCTCACTGGCCTGCTCCCTGTGGCTTGTTTTCTTATGAGGCTTAGGACCAGAAGCCCAGAGGTGGCGCTGCTCACTGGCCCTTCCACATCACTCAAGAAAATGTACTGCAGGCATGGCCACAAGCCAGTTTGGTCAGAGCCTTTGCTTAACTGAGGTTCCCTCTTTCAGAATGACTTTAACTTTTCCAAGTTGACATAAAACTAAGGTGTACAATAAGCATCTGACAGCATGAGTTTACTTTTATGTTTAAATTCTATAGAAATGTGCATGTATTGTTATTGAGTCATGGTATTTCTAATAATAGGTGTTGGTAGCGTGAGTACTCCGATTGACACCAGAAAGAAAATTCCTAAGAGACGTTTGTGGCAGCGCAGAAAAGCTAACCAAAAGATACCAAACGAAGACATGATTGAAGTGAGTAAAACATGCAATTCGAGGTTGATAGGAAGCAATTCGCACGCCCACACACAGCAAGCGAACAAGAAACATTCTCACACTTAAACCTGGCTGCAGGTGGTACTCTCCTGAGCCTGATTAGATGCAGGCTGCGGAAGAACCGAGTCATTTTCATCTAAGAGAGTACCTCAGATGCCGCAGCATCATGGTTTGCGTCACAGTAAAGTTCATAGTGTGATAGTCAGGGTTTTCAAAGAGGGGTAGCCTTTGAAACAAAGGCGACACGTAAAGAAGTTTCATGTCAAAGAGGCTTGTAGTACACTCTGTAAATAGTTGAGATATTTTCCTTGCCCAAGATGTGGCTTATGTGGAAGCCAAGTACTGAGTGTAGTGTATGTGGGAGTGTTTGTAAGGGACTAAATCAGCAAACAGTCCAGTGCACACAGGAAATTGAGTGATTACTAGAAACCTTTCATTAAGAAATCATAACTCAGAATATCAAGTGGCTCATTCTAGGAAAAACAGCACCAAGGAATCTAACAGATTTTTTTGTTTCAAGGCAGAACTAATGACTCAACAGGAAGTCTCTGAAAAGACAACATCCTGTCATGGCAGAGTACCTGTAAGACCTTTGTGCGGCGAGTTACAGAAAACCAAGAATCAGACATCGTACAGTGATGGGAAGCTCTATGAATGTAAGGATTGCGAGAAAGTTTTCTGTAATAATTCAACCCTAATTAAGCACTACAGAAGAACTCATAATTCATGCAAGCCCTATAAATGTGATGAATGCAGTAAAAACTACTACTGGAAGTCAGACCTCACAGCCCATCAGAAAACTCACAGACAAGAGAAGAGGACCTATGAGTGTAGAGTATGTAGAAAAGCTTTCTTCCGCAGGTCTCACCTCAATGCACATGAAAGAACCCATTCAGGTGAGAAGCCTTACGTATGTACAGAATGCAGGAAAGCTTTCTATTACAAGTCTGACCTTACTCGACATAAGAAGACTCATTTGGGTGAAAAGCCATTTAAATGTGAAGAGTGCAAGAAACCTTTTTCTCGAAAGTCAAAACTCGCTATACATCAGAAGACTCATACGGGCGAGAAACCATATGAATGCGCGGAATGCAAGAAAGCTTTCTCGCATAAGTCACAACTCACTGCCCATCGGATCTCTCATTCATCTGAGAATCCTTATGAATGTAAAGAATGCAATAAATCTTTCCACTGGAAGTGTCAACTCACTGCACATCAGAAAAAGCACATAGGTAAGTGAGGGGATACCTGCACGAATGACAACTGAGAACACTCCTGCGGATGTAGCCAATAAAGTGAGGCCAATCTTTGGATATTACAATAGAAAGCATTTAACTGGTATGCCACACAGTCCCACAGGACAAGCAGTTATAAAAAGAGCCAATTGTACCTTAAAAGAGATGCTTATTACACAAAAAGAGTAATAAAAACTTACAGGGACAGATTAAATGATGCTTTGTTTTCTTAATGTTGGTGAGAAAGGAACAACAGCAGCTGAGAGACACTGGGTTAATGAAAACACTGAGGAACTAGGCCAACCAATATACTATAAGGATGTGTTGACACTAGAATGCCAACTAGCAATAGTTTTAAGATGGGGACATGGTTATGCTCATGTATCTATAGAGAATGAGAAAATATGGTTACCAACCCAACTTATAAAGATTAGATCTGACGATGGAAAAGCTCTTATCAACTGAGACAAGAATGTCTTTGCAAAGAAAACAGCCCAGGTGATTCACTTGCACACACAGACTGTCTCAGTTACTGATTTCTCCGGAAAAAAAAAAATGCATGCAAATCAACTTCAAAAGGGCTAGCCCAAATGACCAATCACTCAAAAACTGTACACTACATAGACTTAACAGACAACACTGAGAATACATAGTGCAAAAACCGGGCAGTAAATGATACAGCTGGCTTTGTAAAAACTAACCATTTTCCCCTCCTCAGGCCCCAAACAGAAATTCTTCACTCCAATTCAGCAGGAAGTAATTATATATAAAAAGACTGTTGTTCCAATCCCTTAAGTTGGAGTGGGTGGTTTTGGTTATTTGATGTATTGTGGTTATTTCATCTAAAGTGGTAGGCTGATTTGTTTAATTATTCCATATTGATAGAAATTTAAGGTTGATTTGTTTAATTATTGTATATTGATAGAAATTTAAGATTGTTTTATTTAGTTATTATATATTAATAAAAATGTAAGGTTGTTTGCTAAATTACTCTTTATTGATAAGAATTTAAGGTTCTGTTTGACTACATAAACTATTTAAGGTATGATGTAAAGTTCTAGTTTTATGATTTTTATTTATTTTTTATTTATTTGAGTACATGCAGTTGTCTTTAGACACACCAGAAGAGGGCATCAGATCCCATTACAGATGGTTGTGAACCACTATGTGGTTGCTGGGAATTGAACTCAGGATCTCTGGAAGAGCAGTCAGTGCTCTTAACCGCTGAGCCATCTCTCCAGCCCATAATGTTATGGTTCTTATAATTGTTCCTATTGTGTGTAGATTGTTAGAAAAAAAGAAATTTTAAAACAGAGAGGGAGATATGAGTTGGAAATTTCTGGTTTCTTTGGGGACTCAATTGTGTCATGTGGTGTTTTTCTGGAAACTGTCTTATGAGGGGATGTTTTACTGAGAACAGACACCTGGTGTTTTTCTGGAAGATGCCTGGAAAAAGGACTCATTTGATCATGGTTGCCTTAGGAGTTTTGGCTGTAGAACAACAAAAGCCCTTCCAGTTTGAGTCTTAATTGGCCACGCTGTTCTACACAGAGTATTTGGGCTTTAAACTGACTTTTATGCCTCACTTGTATAGATGACCTCATCACCACACTTTATGTGCTGACAGTCTTATTATGGTGAGTGGTGAGGAACTGTCTACTCACATGGCCATTCCAAACGCCACCCTGCCTGGGATTGTAGGAGCAGTGAAATTGCTATCTGTAAGGCATAGCTCCCAAGGCACTCTTACTGGAAGTTATGGTAAACCAGGAGACAGCTTTGAGACCTGTTCCTCTCTGCTGCCGACAGCCCCACTTGATTTCCCTTGGTCCAGGTTGCCAAATATTCATGGGTCCCAAGTCTCAGGTGCAAGAAAAAATATATATATATATACACACACACACACACACACACAATTTTATAATTAGATCATGGTTATCCTTATTGTATGGAAAACCTGAAAGTGAGTATAGATTAATTTTACTCAGTATAGTGGTGATTAGACAGAAACATTTTAGAACATAATATGTAAGGACAAAATTCACAACTCAGTATCCGCCTGCATAAGGCAAATCAGGAAAAGGAGTGATATACAATACCACTGGTAAATACATTTAAATCTGTCTGCTGGTTTTAGGAGAGTAATGGAATATAGAAACTTGGGATTAAAATTGTACATTCAGGGCTCTGGAAGAAGGTTAAATGGGTAAGTCACTTGCCATGCACCCCTGACAACCTCTGTTCACATTTCTGTAGCCCATGTAAAGGCCAAATGTAGCAACACAGGCCTCTGCCTCCCAAGTGCTGGGATTAAAGATGTGTGCCACCACTGCCTGGCTTTTTTTTATAAATCTTTAATGCATAAATTTTAACTATTTTAATTTTTTTATTTAAGGCTTTCTTTACCATATACCAAAGCCCACCTCTGATGACACACGTGTAGCCATATGAAATTTTATTGTTGGGAAAGTTTTTATCTATCATAATACCATTATATAATTTTGCAAGTGATTTATAAAGTAAAGCGTTGGTTTCTCCGGAGGTAAGATTATGCATGGTTAATGACCCCATCTCAAGGGATGATTTCTTACCCATTTTTTTTCTTAACATCTTGGCCTAGGTTATCAGGAACATGTCGTAAATAAGAAAAGGAATAAAAGAAAATAAAACAGATAAGTTTTCATGAGAACTACGGCTCAATGTTTTATTCCAGGGAAGAATTCCACAACCGGTTGGTTCCAGGAGGGCTCCTTCTTTTGAAGTTTTTGCCTCAGTCTGTGGAACTTGTCATACAGATTCTACTGGGGTTGGTGTGGTATTGACCTGGGAACGACTGTGTCCTCTTAGCCCACCCTGTTATAGCCCCACCTTGAGCACAGCTGCTGTGTCGATCTTGCAACTGCCAGGGACATGCTGTGGTTTTTCTCAGAACTCAAGGGTGGAGGCAATGTCACTCTGAGGACAAGTATAACTTAAAATGGAGTCTGAAAAACAAAATGGAGTTTATTCTGCTTCTGCTACTTTAATCCCTTCATTCCCCACTTGTAGTACCTTTAGAGGCCAGTCTTGGACTCCTTGTGGTCTGGATTGTTAATGCTAATTTGTTGATAGTGAGACCTCATTACCGTTAATAGAATAGTTTCCAACTTTAATTTTATATATTGTGAAAGCTTGCTTAAAATACAAGGTCCAAAGGTAAGAAGAAGTAAATCAATTACTAAAGGCTCTAAGAGGGTAGAAGCAAGAGTTAACCAAGGGGAAGAACCAAATAATGAATGATGCCAACTTTTGAATTTTTCTTGTTCTTTCTGATGCCTGTCAAGGCTTTCCGTGACCTTAGACAATGATTCAAGAATAATCCCAGGATGCTTGACATGGGGGCAGCACTCCTCATGTAAGGTGACACATAGCCCTCCCTATTGCAGGAACACTAAGTCTAGTCCCCACCTATTTTGAAACACATTTTTAGCCAGAGAATCTGTGTTAGCCTCCAGGTGGGAAATGGACCTCTTCATCCATGCTGGATATCTTCATCCATGTCATGTCTGCTTTTAAATTGTTATAATTCTTTTCCTGTAATGCCAGTGCAGCTCTCCTAGTACCAACTCTGGCTAGTCCTGGCCCTAGAATCAATGTTAAGCTTTCAGCACCGTTTCCTCTGAATAATAGGTTATACAGGACACTAATTGAACCAAGATTCAGAACCTGTCTGGGGTAGAATGAAGAACCACCCCGTTCACACAAGGGGTCAGTCCTGTGAACAGGCCCACCATGCCTGTTCTGGGGGGATAATCCATTTGGAGTGGACTATGGGAATGGTCTGATTACAGAGGTGTTAATGCAACAAGGGGACCTTTCCCAGGTAAACACCCTGTCCTGATATAGTGTGGCGGTTAAAGCCAGACCTTCCTGAGACCCTCCACGTGCAGAATCCCTTTCAGAAGCACTGTATTCTGCTATCAACCTTATGTTCTCCATAAGCCCTTATGTCTGACACATAACTAACAGGAGATGGTAAGTTCGGCTTGGAAGATATTTACCGTCATTGTCCAGAGGGGATCCACTGATTCTGCTTGTTCAAGAGGGAGCTCTGGAACTAAGGCTCTCTGCAATTGGGTAACTGATGGAAAGGTAAGTTTTAGTCCAGAAGATACTGCTACTAGTACTGGTTTAGGGGGTGCTAGAATTTGATGTGGGCCTACTGACACTGGTGACTTACCTGTGGTCAGCCTTATTAAGGGTTTGACAGTAAAGAGTAACCCCTGATAATGTGAAGACAGAGACCTCGAGACTTCCCAGCTTCCCATCCCTTGGCTTGTTTTCCCTTGTCAGTGAACCTCAGCAGAACTTTGGAATTATCTCCCTGTTGAGAAACCTCTTTTAACACCCTTCATCCCCTATTTCTAGTGACTGATGTCTCACATGCCCAGACAACACAGTAAAACTGTTTGGGACCCCCACATTTGCTGTTCTTTTCCCACTGGACAGATATAAGAAGTCTTCCATCGGCATTGAGTATATGAATTTTGAGGAGTGTTTTTGGTGTTGGGCCATGAGTTGTCGGCTAGATGACACAAATCAAAAACAAGGAAACAAGGAAGTTCTGATGGTCCTTCTGTACAGGACAGTTGGGCACAATAGCCAATCTCAGGAATTTCAATCACCCAAATTACAAGGCTGGTATGGGTTAGGGGCTGCAATACATATAGTTAGAAGAGACAGCACACTTAGGACTAGGACCAAGTCAATTTTAACACGAGGGTGTTGCTGCTCTTTTAAATCCTCCATTCTGGTGTGGCTGCAGTCAGGTAGTCTTTTGTGGAGAATAGATTAGCAGGTCTGGCATGAGTGTAGTGCATCCAGGTGCTGATTCCGTCCTTTTTGATGGCAGTTGGCATGGTCAACAGGATGCTGTAAGGTCCCTTCCACCTGGGTTCAAGCACACCTTGGCAAAATCTCCTCACATAGACCCAGTCTCCTGGTTGAAACTTATGTGGTTCCAGAACCAGGCCTGCTTCATAGAGGGCACATAGTTTAGGTCAAACATTTATGAGCCCATTGGGTAGTTCTGATCCTGAATATTAAATCATCATCCTCCAGTTCTGTAATGGCTGCCTACTGTAGGCTGGGTACAGTGGGAACTGGGATACTATTCATAATTTCAAAGGAGGCTAGTCCCATCTGGTAAGGAGAATCTCTTACCCAATATAGGGCAAAG